CATCGAATCAGTTCTGACCCATAGTGACCCTTTGTTCCAAGGATTGGCAGGTGAGCTTGAACTACTGACATTGTGGTTCATACCGACTTTGCAGTATAGCGCATTAGCCCACAGTGTCACACCAGGACTCCAACTTTAAATATATCCCACTTCAATTTAGAGACCATCTCAAGAACAGATTTGATACACTGAACACTAATAACTGAAGACAAATGATTTGTGGGATGACATCAAGAAAACAAAACATCATTAAAAAGACAAGAAAGAAAGAAAAGAACAAAATAGATACAGTAGAGACTCTGAAACTTGCTCTTGAACAGAGAGCATATAAAGGGAATGGAAGAAATAAAGACATAAAAGAATTACACAGAATATTTTAAAGGGAAGCTTGAGAAGAAAAAGTGTATTATTGTAATGAAATGTACAAAGACCTGGAGTTAGAAAACCAAATGGAATGAACATGCTTGGTATTTCTTATGCTGAAAAATAAATGAAGAAGTAAGTCCTTGAGCTGCAATACTGAAGGATGCTACAGTCAAAACATGGTGTCAGGATTGGAGGAACAACCTGTGATATGCAAATGATACAACCTTGTTTGCTGAAAGTGAAGAGGACTTGAAACTTTTAGTTATGAAGATCAAAGAGCACAGCCCTCGATATGGATTACATCTCAATGTCAAGAAAACAAAAATCCTCACCACTGGACCAATAAACAACATTCTTATCAATGGAGAAAAGATTGAAGTTGTCAAGGACTTCATTCTTCTTGGATCAACTATCAACACTCGCAGAAGCAGCAGTCAAGAGATCAGACGACGTATTGCATTGGGCAAATATGCTGCACAGGAACTTTTTAAAGTGTTGAAGAGCAGAGATGTCAGCTTGAGGACTAAGGTGCACTGACCCAAGCCATGGTATTTTCAATAACCTCATATGGATGCGAAAGCTGGACAATGAATAAGGAAGATAGTAGAAGAATTGATGCCTTTGAGTTGTGGTGTTGGAGAATACTGAAAGTGCCATGGACTGCCAAAAGAACCAATAGATCTGTTTTGGAAGAAGTGCAGCCAGAGTGCTCCTTGGAGGCCAAGATGGCAAAGCTTCTTCTCTCATACTTTGGACATATTGTCCGGAGAGAACAGTCACTGGAGAAGGATGTCATGCTGGGTAAGGTGGAGGGTCAGAGAAAAAGGGGAAGACCCCTAACGAGATGGATTGGTCAGGTGGCATCATTGATGGACTCAAGTGTGGCAGCGGTAGTGAGGTTGGCCCAGGATCGGTCATTGTTTCGTTCTGCTGTGCATGGGGTCCCTATGAGTTGGTTCCGACTCGATGGTACCTGACAACAACAACAACAGTTAAATATCAAATGATGCAGGAAATATTTTTAAAAGATGAAGTGAATCTACAGTTACTGTACCAAAAAGAACTGGTTTATAATGCAACTGTAATATTGAAGGATGCTACAGTCAAAAATCAAATGATGCAGGAAATATTTTTAAAAGATGAAGTGAATCTACAGTTACTGTACCAAAAAGAACTGGTTTATAATGCAACCATTTCAGGAGATGGGATATGATCAAGAACTGATGGTACTGAATGAAGAAGTTCATGTTGCTGATACTCCAGGAATTCATAATACACCAGTTTAGATGTATCAACAATTAGATACAATGCTGGGAATGCTCAGTCGTCTATGCCAATGCATTTGGAAGACAGCTACCTAGCCAACTGATTATAAGAGATTTATATTTGTGCCTATTCCTAATATAATGATGCAACAGGATGTAGAAATTAGCTAACAATATCACCAATATCATATTCAAGCAAAATTTTGCTGAAGATAATTTAAAAATGGTTAACAGTAGTACATATGCTAGGAACTTCCAGAAATTCAAGCCAAATTCACAGAGGATGTGGAGTGAGGCCTATCATTGCTAATGTAAAGGGATTTTGGTTGAAAGCAGAAAACACCAGAAAGATGTTTACTTTTGCTTTATTGACTATGAAAAGGTATTTGACAGTGTGGATCATAACAGACTATGGATGACATTGGCACATATGGAAATTCCAGAATTCTTAATTGTACTCCTAAAGAACCTTAGACATCAGAGGTAGGGAACCTTTTGTCAGCCAAGGGACATATGGAAATTTATAATATAATTTGTGGGCCATACAAAATTATCAACTTAAAAATTAACCTGCTATATTTGGATGATTGGAACTGCAAGACCGGACCAAATGATTTTGTGGGCCTTAGATAGTCCATAAGGAGTCCTGGTGTTAATGCACTGACCTGCACATTTGATTTGAACTACAAGGTTGGCTGTTCAAGCTCACATCTGCTCCTCAGAAACCCTATACAGAGTCTCAATGGCATTGAGCAACAACAACGTACGGCATATAGGCTGGATGTTCCCCACCCCTGTTGTACATAGACCAAGAAGTAGCTGTTTGAACAGAACAAGGGATACTGTGCAGCTTAAATTCACAAAAGGTGTGTGTGTGTGTGTGTCAAAATTATACCCTTTCACTATCAATTTGGATGCTGAGCAAACAATCCAAGAGACTGGACTATATGAAGAGGAGTGTAGCATCAGGATTTGAGGATGAGTCATTAGCAACTTCCGATATGCAGATGACACAAATTAGCTTTCTGAAAGTAAAGAGGACTTTGAAGCCCTTATTGGGCAAAGAATATAGTCTTCAGTATACACTTCAATATAAAGAAAACAAAAATCCTCACAACTGGACCAATAAGGAATATCATGATACACAGAAAATATTGAAATTGTAAAGGATTTCATTTTACTTGGATTTACAATCACCACCCAAAGACCCAAAGCTGAGACATCAAATGCATTGGGCAAATCTGTAGTAAAAGACTGTTTTAAAGTGTTAAAGAACAAAGACACCACTTTGAGGACTAAATTGTGTTTGACTTAACCTTTGACATTTTCAAGCTTCTCTTAAATGTATGTGAAAGCTGGACAATGAAACAGGAAGATGGAATGATGCCTTTGAATTAAAGTGACATTTTTGAATACACCCTGGATCACCAGAGGAATGACCAACTCTATCTTGGCTGTAAGAAGTGCACAGCTAGAATGCTTCTTAGAAGCAAGTACATTGAGACTTCATCTCACATATTTTGGACATGTTGTCAGGAGGGACTGGTCTCTGGAGAAGGAAATCATGATTGGTACAGTAGATGGTCAACGAAAAAAAAGAAGACCCTCAATAAAATGAATTAACATAGTGGCTGTAACAACGGACTCGTATAGAGCAACAATGTTAGGATGGCACAGAACTGGGCTGTGTTTGTTCTGTTGTACTTATGGTCACTATGAGCAGGCATTGACTGAATGGTGTCTAATAACACCACCATTTTCTAATTTGTTTCAAAGGATTGAAATGTTCAAGTTAGCCAGGTGTGGTGAAAAAAGAACATTGATAGTATGTGCTTAATCTGGCACAACCATTTAGAAAAGCAATTGTTACATATCAAATGAATAAAGATATTGTAATGAATAATATCATACCATGAAATTGAATGATCACCTTTTTGGAATTTTTTCCTAAGGAACTAATTTAAAAGAACAAAACACAATGTCTAGGGAGATATTTCTTGCAGTATCTTAATAGACTGGTAAAAAGACAATTGCTGTTGTGTTGTGCCATGGAGTTGGTTCTGACTCAAGAGCTAACCTGTATACCGTTTCCAATACTGTAAATTTTTACTGGAGAATAATGCCTCATCTTTTTAAAGTGGAGTAACTGGTGTATTCTAACGGCTGACCTTGCAGTTTAGCTGCTCAAAGAGTAACCCATCAAGTCACCAGGGCTCCTGAAAAGATAAATTAGTATTTGGATTTTACAGTAATTTCAATTGGCAATCATGAAGATCAGGGAATAATTGATTAGATGTTAAATGGAATAGGTAGGAAAAGTGGGGGAAAGAAGCAAGAACAATATTGTAAATGAATGCAAAATCTGGACCTGGGTTACGTAGAGGTTCCTGAAGCTTAGCAGACCTGGGACCCTCCTGCCCTGCCCCTTAGCCAAATCAAAACAAAACAAAAAACAGCATGTATTCCCTTGGCCACTCTGTGCATAAACAGGAACACCACAAAGCTGAAAAAACCTTGCAAAACTGAGTAACAGGAAGAGCATTTAGCTGAAAAAAATTTTACCCTACAGCTAACAACACCTGCTTTGCACCCATATGTAACCAAACTGTATATAAACTCACTTTTGCAAGCACTCGGGGTCAGAGTGGTTTAAGCAATAGCTGACACTTTGTCCGCTGGCAATAAACTTGCTCTCATGAGATCCAGCATCTGAGTCTCTTAAAGCTGGGCCTTGCCATAACAGAAGTACACCCTCAAGGCAGAAAGTTTAAGGTGGAACCATAAAACCCAGTAACAATGATAAATTTTATTTTAATTAAACATATTACAAAGTCAAAATTAATGCAAAAAAATTCAGGATGAAAAAATTTTAAATGCAAAACAAGAGGATCTTGTAAAACCTTGAGATTTTCTTACCCTAATCCAGGACCCTTCTACTCCCGTAAAGATTTACACGCTCGGAAACCCTGTTCAGGGTCGCTATGGGTCGGAACTGACTCGACGGCACTTAACAATCCAGGACCAAGGACCCTGTTTTAATTAAAACATGGTATTTTTCACTTAAAAAAAAAAGTCTTTTATTAAAGTATTATTTTCTTCATTATTGAGTTTCCTGGTGTGTTCTTAAATTTTTCACCTGAGCTGAGTGCCTCAGTCCTGGACCAGTGCAAAATCATAGTAATTATACATCAGAGAAGCCGTGGTTTTTATTTTTCGAGATAAAAACTTTCTATGTATTCTTTTCAACCAATTAAAAGGGCGGTTCTCCAAGATATTTAAGCCTCAGAACAGTGTCCCAGACTTTCCTAGACTAAGAGGGGCGGAGTGACAAGGGTGTTTGGAGGTTCTGGCAACTGCCTTCGGGCTCACCATGAAGCGCAAGTTAGACCCTCGGGGAATGACGTTGCCCCGGAGTTCATTGTGAAGGTTCACGTACTCATTGATAAAGTCTACGTCCTCTTCGAGTGGCAAAAATCTCGCATTCAAACCGGAACTCAGTAGGAGAAGCCAGAGCTCACAGAGCCACAGATTCAAATCACCCATGGCGACACTGGAAGCGGCTGAGAGCGCCACTCGGAGGCGAAAGGCCTCGGTGACTCCATGATCCACGGGCCACAGACTGGCCAGTGCGCATGCGCTGCTAGGCCCCACCGACAGGCCAATCTCCGAGGCGGTGCACGCAAACCACGCCCCACGCTCTCCCGAGGTAGTTGGCAGAAGTCTCAACTGTCTGAGGAAGTTCAGAATGAGTTCTCTGCTGAACAGTCTAAGGAGCGACTTGAGTTAAAATATTTATATTTCTTCTCTCACTAGCAGTTATGAGACAGCCTCGAATAAATTGTATTTTCCACTGACAAACTGATTTCATAGTAGGAAAGAACGTCTTATTTATTTTCATTTCTTTCAGGCAAAAATGGCTAGTGTCCTTGCAGGTTTTGTTCCTGATTTCTTTAACTGTAAACATGTTGCTCAAGAAAAAACTGTAAAGCATTTAGATTCTAGGCACAAAATACAAAGCATATATTTATTAGGGGCTTCTGAGTTGGAAGTGACTCATTGCCACTTAACAATAACGACACATTAAACAGTTACTCTAAGTCTTTGATATTAGGGCAGAATTTTGCTACAAAAAAAGCATTGTAACTGGCCAAAAATATCCAAAAAAGGAAATGTGCTTTTAAAAAATCCCTATAATGCATACAGTTGAAAAGAAGTAGAATCACACAAGATGGTTCCATTCTTTCCTTATTTATTTTTAACAAATATTTATTATCAGGTACTGTGCTTCACATTTTGGAGCTTTCTCCATCACCATTTTCTCCTGTTTGTCATTCTAACATGATTCTACATTCTGTTAGATTTTTTTTTTTTCCATTCATATATTTATCTAGCAAGTGTTAACAGTTAAATGCTTGGCTGCTAACCAAAAGGTTGGTAGTTTGAACCCAACCAGTGGTTCCACAGAAGAAAGGTCTGGTGATCTATGCCTGTAGAGATCACAGCCTAGACAATCCTATGGGGTAGCTCTACTAGATCACATGTTGTTGTCGTTGTTGTTGTTAGTGCCATCGAGTCAGTTCCGACCCATAGTGACCCTGTACAGGGTTTCCAAGGAGCAGCTTGTGAGCTTGAACCACCAAGCTTTCAGTTCAAACGGCTTTGCAGTCTGGCGCATTAACCCACAGCGCCATGCCAGGACTCCTGTCACATGTGGTTACTATAAATTGAAATAGACTTGATGGCACTTAGCAACAACAACAACAGTAACAATTATTTATTAAGCATGATTCTAGGCTTTAACTATTAATGGTTATTGGGAGAATTAAGTCCCTTTCCATAATGGAAAGTGAGGGGAAAAAACCTACCAACAATTGAAAAATTGAAAAAGTAAGTAAAATAAATTAAATGTATCATTTCAGAGACTGATGAGTGTTATGAAAGCAATAAGCTTAGTGAAATTATACATAATAATGAAAGATTATAATATAATTTGTTGAGAACGTTGGGGTCCATTTCACTTTGTACAATTTATTATTTTTAATACTTTTAATTACCTTAATAGTTAAGCTATCTGACTCCAAAGTTTACACATTTAACCATTAAACTATATCTTTTGTCTCTCAAAATGGTAGTGAACAAAGCTCATAACTAATTTTTTCGTAAAGACTAGTGAAGAAAAATCAGAAAAAGCAAAAAGTTATAGGGCTTAAAGCAATATATAATACAACTACAGATAGAACTGAGATGAGTATATAAAAGAATTCCATTAAATTATAAAAAATAGAGAAGAGAAATTTTGCTAATCTCCCCATAAAAATATCATATACTAAATAAAGAATTAAGTAATAATTAATAATGTGTAAACACACACAGAATACAACAAAATTGTTTCACAGAAAACTTCTCAGAAACATTCAAGAAAGAAAAAAGCCATGTTATAGAAATTGTAACTAAAATTTTAAAAAGCAATGTTCCCAACTTTCAAATTATTTTATGAGGCTAGTACAAGATTGAAGTCAAAGCCATATAAAGAAAATTGACAAAAAATTGTAAACTAATCATAATTCAAATACAAAAATGGTAAACTAAGTACCAGCAAAAATGCAGCCATCTATAATAGAAACCTATGACCAGCTTGAAATTTGATAAGAATGATTTAATATTGAATTTCTGGTCCACCATTTAGCTCTTGACATCTCTTAAATTTTACAGTGTGGCTGTGTTGCTTTAGAAATCATTTGGTATAATTCACAACACTAGGAAATTAAGGGGAAAAAATAGAATAAATCCAAAAGATGTAGAAAAAGAACCTTGTAAAGTTAAATATTCATTTAAGATGAAAAATATCAGAAAAATAAGGACAAGAAATATTTTCTATAACCTAGCAAAGAAGATCAATTCAAAACCTAAAGTTTGTAATCCAAATACTGTTTGTAATGGTGAAACTGTCAGTAAAAACAGTCCTTTCAGAACTTATGTTCAGCATTATCTTGGATGATGAACAGACTACCATTATTAGAAAAATTAAAAACATATATTAAAATTAGATGAAAGAACAAATTTGCATGTTTCACAGATAATATGATTATTATTGAAAATATCAAGAGAATTAACAGACTTCTTGAAATTGTGAAAGAGGAAAGATTTTGGGGTGTTGTTGTTAAGTACCGTTTAGTCAGTTTTGATGCATAGCTACCTGGTATAAGGTTTCCAAGGAGCAGCTGGTGGTTTGACCACTGACCTTGAAGTTCAAAGGCCAGTGCTTATTCTACAGTGCCACACCAGGATATTTTTTTAAAGTTTTATATTTTTATAAATCAGCAAAAAACAATTTGAAAATATAATTAAAATTATTTATAATACATGTCAATTCTTCCAAATTTATCTGTAAAATCAGTATATCTCAATAAAATGCCACAAAATTGTATTTAGAACTAATGAGCTTATTTTAGCATTAGGTTGCAAAAGAAAAGGGTCAAGAATAACCAAACAATTCTTAAATAATTTGGAGAAAAAAAAGGAAATTGAGGAAACACCGCGTACCATGTATCAAATCTTATTGTAGCCTATAAATGCTATCTTGGAGACCCACATCAGTTGCTGCTTAAATCTACAGCCTAGTCCAAAACTCACATCAAGCACAACAAGAAATCCAAATAAAAGAAAATGCAGCGCTATTTACAAAGGCAGCAAAGACTACAGGGGCTGAGATTTCAGAGCAGGGATTTCATAAAGAGATGGGCTGATGCTAACAAGCTGCTTTTCCCTTGTGATCATTTACTGATTGTGAGTCCAGTTCAAGGGCTGAAAATCTGGACCTTGTCCAAGCCGAGGTTTATTGTTGGGAAAATGAGAAATCAGCAGAGCTTTTAGTTTCCTTGCAAGGCTAGAGAAACAAAATTGGAACACTAAGGTGCCAAATCCAAAGAAGACATAATCATTTGCTGTGGAGTTGATTCGGACGCATGGTGACCCCGTGTGGGTCAGAGTACAATTGTCCTTACTACTGAGGATTTTCAGTGGCTGCTGTTTTGGAAGTAGCTTACTAGGTCTTTCTTCCATGACATATCTGAATAGACTTGGACCCCAACGTTCCAGTTAGCAGATGATGAATTTACCATTTATATCACCAGAAATTCCTGACCATGCTGTTTTGTATTATACATCCTACACTCATCAATTTCAATTGGCTTTTTATACTTTTATATTTTCCCAAAGACCTTCATTTTACATTTTATGATGTAATTTGCTTATGTTGTTATTCTCTTTCCCCTCACTAGATTGTAATATAATGTGTTCCGCTAAGTAGGGATTTATTGTATTGTATTACTGTTGTAGTACTAGCCCTTTAATAGTAGACTTCAATATTTGATAAACAAATAAATCCTTTAAGATTCCAAAAATATTAATTCCTCTATGAAGTCCTCCAGTTAATATATTTCATATACATATCTCTTATGACTTTATTTTTCTTTTCCTCTTACTCTTAAAAATGCTTTATGTGCTTTTAAAATATCTGTTTTAATACTGTATTTCTTTCTCTCATATATAACTCCTTTACAAATTTTGTTAGTTCTACTTTCTCTTATTTTTTTGCTAATCTCTTTTTTAAATTGGTTTAAATAAATATGCACAATAATATACAGCAATATAAAACAAATATATAGTGTTAGGTGCCATTGAGTTGGTACTGATTTATAGTGACCCTATGCACAAAAGTGGTTACGAATCGGGCTGCGAACCTTAAGGTCAGCGGTTCGAAACTACCAGCTGCTCCGCGGGAGAAAGATGAGGCTTTCTACTCCCGTAAGGATTTACACCCTCGGAAACCCTGTACAGGGTCGCTATGGGTCGGAACCGACTCGACGGCACTTAACAACAACAACAACATGCACAAAAGAAAATAACACTGCCCGGTCCTGGACCAACCTCACAACTGTTGCTATGCCTGAGCCGATTGCTACTGTCAATTTATAGCCTCGGAAACACTGTACAGGGTTGCTACGAGTCGGAACCAACTCCATGGCACATAACCACCACATGGATGTTGTTTATTGGTCCAGTGGTGAGTATTTTTGTTTTCTTTACATTGAGGTGCAACCCATGCTGAAAGCTATGGTTTTTTGGTCTTCATCAGTAAGTGTTTTAAGTCCTCTTTGATTTCAGAAAGCAAGATCTGCATATCGCAGATTGTTAATGAGTCTTCTTCCAATTCTGATGTCATGCTTGTCTTCATATAATCCAGTTTTTCAGATTGTTTGCTTAGCATACAAATTGAATAAGTATGATGAAAGATTACAACCCTGAGTCATACCCTTCCTAATTTTAAACCAATCAGTCTTCCCTTGTTCTGTCTGAACAACTGCCTCTTGGTCTGTATACAGGTTCCTCATGGGTACTATTAAGACAAATACTATAATGAAATTTGCAATGACCTGGAGTTAGAAAACCAAAAGGGAAGAACACACTGAGCATTTCTCAAGTTGAGGGAACTGAAGAAAAAATTTAAGCCTTAACTTGCCGTGTTGAAGGATTCTATGGACAAAATATTGAATGATGCAGAAAGCCTCAAAAGAGGATGAAAACAATATGCAGAGTCACG